AATGGCTGCGGCCAACCAGCGACAACTACTGCTCGAGTATCGCTGCTTCACACTCCCCACGTCGCACTAATAAAGATAAATTTCAACTTGGCTGTAAAAGAACTCATTTATAAGAGGATTGCGGGTCAGCTTTGAACCTATCCCAGGCCATATAATTATTCTGTAACCATGTGCCTACTTAGATCCATGTAGACAGACCGCCGGGTCAGCTACGCTACACGACCGTCACTCGACTACTTTTCGTTCTTATTGGAAAATCAGCCGCCTGATAAGCCTCAAGCCAAACCGAAATATCGACTGCCTTGCAAAGCAGTTGTTATAGGATTGTTATTATAATATAATGTCGATATTTTCGTTCGGGCCGTCAGGTATGCAAATGGAATAGGAATATTTTATAGATGGCGCGCCCGTTCGACATTCTGCTATGACGATCTACACCGGTCTTCCAATGATGTTTTCCCCTAATAGATAAACTATTTACCTTACTTCAGTTGCTATTATATTTAATTGGCAGCTCTTCAAACCTTCTGTGAGTTCCACTTTTTTGTTTGCTTCTGTCCGTTTATTGGACACTAACGAATGAGAGCAGCGTGCCGGTGACGAGGTCGTTCTCGTAAGCTGCTTGAATGGAGGTACCCGGGAAATCGATATGTTTTTATTACGACAACATTTTTTAACTGTGGGGCAAGTGGTCGACATTGAGCTTATATACGTGTCCGCAATGGTATTTGCTTGTCAAGAAGCGAGCGTGCTTAGATCAACGAATTCAAGTTGACGAAAAAGTAACTTTAGCAACTGAAGCCACGGAATACGAAGAAGTGAACTTGCCAAATTTCCACAAAAAGCATAAACAACGAACTATCCGAGACATTGAACGATCAGGTGAGCTCAGTTCTCCTAATTTTAACTGATTTTAACTAAAGTCAAACATGCGTACAGCTGTTTCTAGGACCTTCACAAGGTAGGGCTTAGTTTTTTTAAATATCGATTTTCGTTGAGTTTCTCCTGTGTACAAACCGGGTGTCGTTGTTGATACAAAGAGAACCTGATATGACATAGCAGGACAATGGTCATATTGTCATACATATATACTAATTAATATTTAATTAGCAACAATCAAAGCAGCAAAGACTTCCCAAAATTTTCTACAGATATTCTCATTCTGTGCATGAAAAGAACGTCTCTCAACGAGTCGTTAAACGATCAGAAAATCGGTTAATTAGGACCGTTAAACATGTTCGAACGTAATCCTCATAGGGGAACGGCAAGCGGTTGTCTTGTTGATGCTCTGCTCACTTAAATGTGTTGAATTGTATTGCGTTCTTGTAACCTCCATTGTGCCTCATTTTATATAACTACATTATAGACGAGCGACATCGTATAGCAATAATAAGAATCATGTTTAATCATATTTATATTTATTTTATTTTACCTTAATAGTGTCATTATCATTTATATTGTTATTATCATCATTGTTGTTGTTATTCTAATGAGAACGAGGTATAAAAAGGAACAATACCAATAATGGCTATTCTTTCATCTTTATGGAAAGCAGTTTCAGCAGCGACAGCGCAGACGGAAGAGTTTAATATATGTATAACTCAATTCAGATGCGGCTTCTTTTTTAATTTGTAAGTAGCAGATGGATGCTGCAATTGGAGAAAGGCCTAGTTTGAGATGTCCTTTTCTCGTGTCTAAACACCTGAGGATCCACAACTTGGCAACGTAAACCTGGCGTCACTCGCACGCCATGGCCAGCATGTCATCATCTTCCTTTCTTTCGATATTTATTAACGTCTCAATCATAACTCATTTTGAATAAACAGCCTTTGTAGCTCTATTGTTCTTGATTCGTGCTATGAATAGAGCCTCTTCCGGTAACCGCACCTCCGGTCTCTTCTACAGTCTCTTGCATAAGCAAATCGACAATCCTTCGTTCTTTTTACTAACCGTTTTTTTTTGTACGTGAAAGCACACTGCAAATCATGAACATCCAGGCCGAACAATGACAAAACAGATTTTTTTCACTTTGATAACGTATCCCCGTAGACACATACATATTAGTACGCTTCGCAGTGAAGGACATCTTCAATTTGGTGCTTCCCCTCGGCTGCAAAAACATATAGCGAACGAAGACGTACAGCTTAACACTTCTATTGAATGCTGTTGAATTTTTCCAATCAGTCGCAGATACGGAGAGATTTCTATAGAAAGCCTTCTATATTCTTCAAGCACACTGTTTTGCCTATGCAACTTTCAGCATCTTTAATCGTGATCGGTCTGCAACCCAACTTGCCATTCGATTTGCGTGTCAACACCTTCGTTCTACAATAATAGCCAATGAATCTTCACCAATGTCGTCACTGTTTGGATTCTCACCATTGCTTTAGCACTTTAATTAAACATCATAACGCTAAAAACCTTGCTTGTTTCAACTTTTACCATCATGTTGTTCCCCTCACCTCCCCCGACGTTTCCATTATCTCCCTTATCGCCGCTATAATCGATATATAATACCTAGCATCGCATAGCATAGCACAGACATAATAGCATCCTCCAAGTCCATTTGAATCGTCATCATCACGACGATTCTATTTCACTCCGGTGAGGAAGGCTGAGACAAGAAGGGAAGACGTGGAGGTACGGTTGTTCGTGATGTTCTGGCGGCTATCATAGCTTTAACGTCACGCATTCCCAGCTCTCTCGTAAACTTTGCCGAGCGCTGCAAGTCAACGAAAATCAGCCGGGAACCTTAGGCATTGATTACAATACGTCATCCGTTCGGGCACTAACTCTGTATATGGACTGATCATACGCAATGGTGGTGATGGTGCTGATGTCCTCGTATTCGCAGTCAGTTCCTGTTCGAGAAAATCGCTCGCGGCCAGCAGAAAGTGCTACATCTACAGATAGATTTTTCATTGCTCAAATTCAATAGAATAGACAGACGTAGTTCGTCCAAGACGCATACAACGCTAACAGCGTTAACATGCAATTGTTACGCGCTTAGGTTTACGAGGACAAGCATCAACCAACGGCGACATAAACGCCAGAGCTACAGCCAGCGCCCCCATCAGCGCCAGGGGTCCAAAACATTCATTCTGCTGGTCTTTCTCCGGCTCGGTAAACAGAAATCGTTATCAGTCGAATTAGGTATTGCCTCCGGCATCCTCGGCGGCCCCTTCAACTAGCGCCTGCTGCCCTTGAAGACATCAACAGCAGCAGCAGCAGCGGCGGCGGCCGAAGCAGCCACAGCCTTTTCTACTTCCTTCTTCAAATCTTTTCCGAACGTTATTCTCCTCCTAGTTGCCTAGTGCCGCCGCAGTCCATAGCAGCCGCTGCAGTTGTATGGTGCCGGTGCTGCAAAAGTGATAGTAGTGACGCTCGAGCTTATACTTTTCTCTTTTTCATGTGTCCTGTATGTTGTACGCATATCCTTTGAGAGCACAGACGCCTCTGGTCGTTGCATTGCTGCCATGGCCAGCACACACAATTCTATGTGTCTGTGCATGCGTGCGTGCGTGCGTATGTGTGTGTGTGTGATGCAGCTCAGCCTCTCCTGTTCATGGTAGCATTGTGACCGTTGTCATTACTATGGTCGTCTAACTTGCTTCATCTCTTGTTTCCCTGCGCTGTTGCATTGTTACTTCTCTTTTCGATTTCGTTCGACCATCTAAACGGCCGCGCACACTATTTCGTCGCAGAACCACCATCGCCTCATCATTGGCGCAGCTGTATAGTGGCAGCGATGCGTATTGCTGCTACGGGCGCTGCCTTCGGGCCCTTCGTTCTCGGACTTCCAAAGACTGAACTCGCTACTATGTGCCTACAACCACTATAACCACTAGTGCTAACCGAGCCTATAGCGTAAGCCAGCCTGCCAGCTAGCCGGGCTGGCTTTCCGATTGGCCAGTTGCCTGTCTTTCGGCTTATTTGCCTGTTCACTGGCAGCCGGCATTGCAGAGAGGACTGACTGTATCGGTGTTGTATAATGCCAACAGCATTAGCATTCACAACGGCACCACACGGCAGACTTACAGCATCTGCACAAAGCCGATCTCACTGCTCCCTCCTTCTCAATAATAACCAGCATCAACATAACAACAGCAGCGACTCGGAGTGCGGACAGGGAGCTGTGCTAATAATGGCAGGCATGTGGCAGTAGTGATGCCATCAGATGCTAAAAAACAAAACCGACAATGACCAAGTAGACTTAAAGAACATGGGCAAAGAAGGCATCGGAAAAAGCGTTCCATACAAGAACTTCGACTGCATATGGAAGACGATAATGCACCACCACATGTATGGCTTCTTTCTTAACTTATTGCTGGTATTAACGTTGTTACTGTTGTCATTGTAGTTGTTGTCATCACCATGTCAAATAGTCGTGGCCGTCAATGTCTGAAGCTGAAGGATTATTATTTGCAAGCCCATTACATTAGGTTTATTATACATAATTGTTGTACTTGTGCTAGAATAATCTAATAAAGTTGCATCGTCGCGTACAGTATATACCAGTATAGCGATGGTGACGATGTCAGTCTGAACCGAATGAAAAATAAGCGGGCCACCAAACACCCGACGACAACAAAGATTTAAACGATGTCTGCCGCGAAGTCTCTGCACGCCGTGGCAACGGCACGTAGTCGAAATGAGAGGAGCTGGTAGTATTACAGTTTTCGAAGACGCGATATAGCAGGCGCCAGCTACAAATGGCGATTACCCAACGTAACAAAGGCACTATCGTCTACTCTCAGGGACTCTGGGGGTGGCTATCGAGCTCTAAGGTGGGCAGGCAGGCAGGTTGTGTGCTACTACATGCAATGCTACTTGAACTCATTTGTCGTGCGGCCTTTTCCTTATTCGTTCGATACGATTTGGTAGATGTTATTGACCTCACTCAGTTACTACTGGTGGTGGTTGTGGTGGTGGTGGTGGTTGGTGGTGGTGGTCGTGATGGTGGTGGTGGTGGTGGTGGTCGTGATGGTGGTGGTGGTGGTGCTGCTGCTGCTGCTGCTGCTGCTGCTGCTGCTGCTGGTGATGATGACGACGTCATTTCGCTTAGTTTTCATATATATCCGTGCTTGCTTCCCTGTCGACTTTCATTATCGTATACTTCGTAAATATTGTTTGTTGCTTACAGCTTGTTGTTGCGTTGCTTTAACAACAAGCTATTTATAGTTTTCTATTCCTTTCTCTCTTTCTTTCGCGCGCGCTTTCTTTCTCACGACATTACACGAGACAGCCAACATTATCATATATTTACTTGGACGTCATCATGGTGACGAACTCCTCGTAGTTGACCTGACCATCACCGTCAATATCTGCCTCCCGAATCATCTCATCTACCTCCTCGTCCGTAAGCTTCTCGCCAAGGTTGGTCATAACGTGCCTGAGCTCGGCCGCCGAAATGAAACCGTTGCCATCCTTGTCGAATACGCGGAACGCCTCTCGGATCTCCTCCTCCGAGTCGGTGTCCTTCATCTTTCTTGCCATCATTGTGAGGAACTCAGGGAAATCTATCGTTCCGGAGCCGTCGGCGTCGACCTCGTTGATCATGTCCTGCAGTTCAGCCTCAGTGGGGTTCTGGCCGAGAGATCGCATTACCGTACCGAGCTCCTTTGTCGTGATCGTGCCATCTCCGTCCTTGTCAAACAGGCTAAACGCCTCTTTGAACTCGGCGATCTGTTCCTCAGTTAGCTGATCAGCCATGGTTAGAAAAGCTATATGCTGTCTAGCTTATGCCCTACTGTCCCGTTGTCGTTTGCCACGCACTTCAGCGCTGTTGGTATCTGCGTTTCGCCCGGGGTTTGGGCTTGGCCGGCTGGCTTGCTTGCTTTGCCTATTAATATTTCGCTGTATTAGCGCCCGTGAACGATAGTGAATCGAGTTGCCTTTGTACTGCCTCTCCTGTTATCCGTAAGTGCACCGACAATACTAGGCCGACTGATAAACAAAAAACAATATCACTTACTCCTTATAGTGCCAACAAAGCAAACCGAAATTGTCTGTCTGAACTAGGTGTTTGTATCAATAATAACCGTGTAGTTAGTTATTGGATATGTTGTCTGCTAGTTCACGCACTATCCGCAGTTTGCACAGTCCGTTCAACCGTTAGCCGTACAAGCGTACATTTGCGAATCAATCCAATTGTTCAGAACTAACCTAGCGAAACAACAGCTCTTTCTCTTTCCCTCTCTACGTTGGGTCGCTGTATCAGGTAGTGCTGGTAGTTTTTCGTCTAAAATAAACTACACCTGACTCTCTGTATGTAACGTCCAATGCACAGCGGAACAAGCACCGCACGTAACTCACATGTGGGGCATTAATCGGCAACGAACCGACCTACCAACCGACACGACTCTCCGGCTGTTGTCCCTCACTTATTACCGCTGATGCCACTCACTGCCACTGCCTTCTAAGCACCACGACTCAGCTAGCTCAGTACTTCCGCAGTCGCCGACAGACACAGCGCGAAAATGGGCTAAACAATGGTAGACGCCATTTTGCCGGACCATTGCTGCCGGATGATCTTGCTCATTGCGGCAAAGAACGACTGGAGCGCCCTTGCGGGCGATTCGATAACTAGCGTCGCGGCGGCTGTTATCGCTACGCTACGAGGAACAGCTACCACTACTGCGATTGACGCGGGAAGGCCGGTGGCGATTATGCCGGCTAGGCAGAGTCACAACAAAAAAGAGCAAGCAAACGATTGAGTGTCGCAACCCAAGTATAGAACTAGTAGCGATAGCGTGACGTCAGGCAACGCGCGAAACGCACCGGTTTTAACAATAAGCAGACGATTACAAGTTAATTTCAATGGGTAAAAATGTCATGAGCAACGGTATGGCAGTTAAGGATGGTAATTTTTTTTTTGTGTGCGTAAAGCCAGATAGAACGCAACGGAAATTAGGGCACAGTACAAACGACGCAAGCAGTTCGCAAACGGAGTGCTACTGTTAAATGATCAGCAAGTGTTACCGTCTTGAGGGTATAGACTATTTTATGCAAGCAGCTGAAAGTAGGCTCCGGCTTGCTACGTTATTGTGTGACGATGAAGGTTAGTAACTGGCCCGCCGCTGCCTTATTATAGCAACTTATGATGACTGAGTATCCAATTAAGAGCGCCAGGTGTTACGCTCTTCTGTAGACGAAGATGATGCCGAAAAAGGGACGTGTTGGCCCTATACGGAACACTTCATAGTTACCGGAGCAAGTTTGCTTATCGTTAAGCTGGAAAAGAGGACACTTTCTAGCCGAATTTTGGTTACTTGGATATGTTCGAGCTAACGTTTATCTGTAGAAGGCTAATAAAAATACGTCCACAGACAACTTAAATCAGTTTATGTTATGCCACGCACATACAGAGGGATCCTAACCCTATATAGGTAGACCTTATTACGAGGACTAGGGTGAAATCTCGTCGTACGGTTGACCAGTTAACAACTTAAAATTTTTTCTTTCTTTATAAACATGTTTTGCCCCAAGATAAAGAAAATACTTTGGTGAAATTGCCAATACTTTACCTAACAGCGATTAGATCGTCCTACACAAATGCAATAGGTGAACGTGTTTATGTAAATACTAACGTCAGTAGCCAGATGTCCGTAGTGCACAATTTCATGCCCGGACCTGTAAAGTTCCAGGTCGGGGCACGAAAGGAAACCCAGCCTGTTCCCTCGTGAGTTACAGCACGAGATGGCTCCGCAAAGTGGACTTAGTTTGCATTTACAACGATCGCGTGCATCTGTTTCATTTTTGAGGAAACAGATTAAACTACAGTGCAACGTTTTGAGACTGGTGATTCCGATAATCATGGCTAAGTTCTTTAAGCTTTTTTATGCAGCCTTTATTCGTTCTGTTGAGATTTTTCAACAATAAAGCCATCCGTTGGCATGACGTTACAATGCCAGCGTCAACTAAGGCAGAAACTGCTTAGCGATTTCTGGTCGTTCGTTTCATTTTTCATAATGCTCCACTGACAGAAAAACACCGAATTGTTTCTATGGCGCAAACGCGATTGTTCGAATTCAACACCGAAGCTTTCGGTCGAACTTTTAGGTAAAAGTAGAGACCTGCATCAGTGGATTCTGGTAGGCTAAAATCAAAATAAGTCAGCCATTTTTAAATGGTCAAAATGAAATAATAGGAAATTTTGACGCTGAGAACAGCTACTCGTTACTTGTTGCAGGATAAAAATCTCCCATTGGACTATAGTATTCAATTTAGGTAGAAAGAGACTTGCTTCCATTAAATTGAACAACTTCGAATAAAATCGCAAATTCGAGAACTGAACGTTTCTCGTCAAGCAGAACTATGGAAATAGAAACTGTGGATATTACTGGTCACAAGTCATTCGAAGTTATTTTTATTCTGTTCAGTTGCTACAAACTACCGACCAAGTCACACCGATTCTCCCTAAAAAAGCCATAAATAGAAAAAAAATCATGAACTAATATTTTGCCCTTGGCTATTTGATTTCTGTTGAGTTTAATCTTTACTAAAAATCTCATCGCGATTTGCCAGAACACGATTATAAAGGTCCCTAGTTTGTCGATGAAGATCCTTTTCGCATGACGCCGTCTGCCGTAACGAAACAGCTCTGACCTGGGAAAGGTAGAAGTTTTGTCAAGGAAGCATAGTATGCGTACAGGGCTACCGGCTGTCGGTCGCCTAATTTCCCGAACCTATTATCTTCCGCCTAGCGCTGTCCGATGCAATCAGATCATCAGGCCTAGCAGTTTTCTGCTTGCTGTTACAAGTCTCTTTACTGAGACTATTGCAGTAATTCGTGGAGTACCGCGAGTAGTGTACAGCATAAGTTCGCAACCTTCTGAACAACGGACGAAGTGAATAGGCGCAGTATTTTGCACAAGAGGCGAGAACAGCCAATGTGCTCGCCATTGCCGCCGTATCCACCATTACCAAGGCAGCGTTCTTCTCAGACTTGCGAACCCAGCTGTAACAAGGCCCGTACCCTGGTTCATGTATTAGCGACGGTATGACCGGTTGCCTGGCATCATGAAACAGCGTCTACGTGATAATGACAGCCGAAGTTGAAAGAAGGTTCGGCCGAAAATTATGATCGTACACATGAAAGCAGTCGTAGCTTCAGCAATGCAAGGAACCGCAAGACATAAGCAAGAGCTCGCTCTTTATAAGGCAACGGTGAGATCGAGTGCATGATCGTTGCTTATCGCAACGGTGTACCGCTGGTGAGTAAAACGGATAGCAAATCGTTGTCGATTAGCGATGACTGGCGGAAAAGCAAAAAAAAAACAAGCTTGCCGTGGCAATATTATTGTCTGGGTTCTGTGCTTATTTGGTCCACTGATGGGACGCTTGCGCTAATAGAACTCTATTAGGTTACGACCAAGCCAAGCGATGACAGTTACGATGTTGACCATCATCGTGATGGCGCTCCCTGATAAAACTCCTCTATATTTATTGTATTTGACACACTTAATTACTCATTTATTGTAGCGATCTTCGTTATTAGGTGAACTAAACAGAGTACGACGAACACGAACGTCTCGAGGAGCAGAATATACCTACGTTACTTGTATCAGTGCGCCGATGGCCTCAAAGGAGCAGACGTTGCTGTAACTTGCACTGAAGTAGTTTACTTTGCGGATTTTGCCCCGCGGCTACCCCGTGACTTTCGTATCGTTACCCCTTGGTGATTTAATGACTGACTTCTTTACCGTTTCAAAAAAGTAGGGAACAGATGACCATGCGCAAAATATTATAGCTGGCTATTCTGGTAGGTTAGACAGTGTAGTATTCCCCAGATTATTAGAGTAAAAGATGTGTGCGCAATTAGGTCTCAAGTAGGATAATATATAAGATTTTCTTTAATACAGGCCTCTAAGAAAACGGGGTTCGCTTACAAGAAAGAACCTTATAGATACATTGGATCCGAAGATACTACATAATATGCTTGAATGAAAATTAGCAGTTTTAATAATCACATTCGAGACTGTGTTGGTATAACTTACGGCGGTAGAGTAACTACTTTATACCTATGCTTTTCAGATTTGTTTTTTTTTTTTATAAGCACGCCCCTTCGATGCCAAGCGATACTCTCTCTGGGTTTTTGCTCACACAAACACGCATGTTAGAGTAAGCACTTACACATATGCGAAGAGAATTTCGATCATCCAATTAGTCTTCAGCAGTTTATCACGCGTCCTACACACAGAAACGACCAGTATTGCGATTGTTACGCATAATTTCTGTGTCTATCTAACAGCTTGGACAGCGTGTTTCTCAAGCCTAAAACTACTGGCTAACGTAGCCGGAATGGACTCGACGTCTTCACGTGAAGTTCTACGCAATACATGGCCGTAGACTGAGACTAGCAAGTTCTGTCTCGTCTGCTTTGTTTCAAACGAACTTCACGCTGTCACTTAAGAATACAAAGGCGGTAATGAGCCAAGTTCACATCGATATATCATTAAATGTACGTTTCGTTGAAAATTGTATTGTTTGAACAGGTACCCAGCGTGCATTACCTGCTTTGAAATGATCAAACCTTGTGTGTTATAGCCTGCCAATCTGAAAGCCAGCGAACTAACGGAACGTAGAGTAAAACATCAAACATGGAAAACCTTTTGGCAGATTAAAAGAAACAGATCGTCGGCGTTCCAGTCACAGCTAACGTAGAATAAGCTAACGCGAAAATATATCAACGAGATAACTACAGTAATATAACTGTTACTCTATACCATAGTTTACATTGAAGTATATTGAACGAATTACGAGATTAAATGATGGTGATCCCGAGAGACGAGGAAGAAAAGCAGGTTGTGTAGACCTTCCCGTCTGTAGCCACGCTGGCTAATACCTATGTTTTGGATTCTAGTGAACCGCTTAAAGGGTCAGCTGATGCACTGCTTTGCAAGAGACTCCCATTAAAGTAGTGCTAATGCGATTCTAGTGGCTGACTCTGAAGACTGGATAATTTTTTCTATATCACAGGCCAAGTGGGTAATGCTATAACATTGTTCATGTTAGGGTATTCCGCTGGGTCCTATGAAATAGTTAAATGGAGTTAGCAATCACTTTCCTGCGGATTAACACCACTGCTAGCAGGCAACAGGTTACTGAAGAATTTCCAAGTTGGGTGAAATACATATTGCCCGCATATATCCGCGACCCGTAGAATTCTTAGAAAAGGACTGGTTGATTCTAGGACGTGAGCGCAACCTGAACTATTTCCGAACACACAAGATGCTTCATGCCACTTTCTTTTTGAGCTGTTGGGGTTCTCAGGATCCGGATATCTCAACATGTCAGGAATTAACGGCTATATACTAGACACGTCGGAATATATATATGTGTGTGTGTGTGTGTGTCTGCGTCTGCGTGCACGAAAATTCACAGTGGAGGTCGAATTTAGGGAAAGAGCTGCTTCACGAAGGCTTATAGGGGTTAGGATTTTTTTTATAACCTACCAGTACGTTTTTAGTAACTTTCAAGTATAATTCGATAAATTG